CCATCGCCATCATCTCCATCATCATCATCATTTAGGCACTCCATGCCCTACCAGAGGTTGCAGGGGAATTTTAGTGCAGCGGAAGTGTTCGGGGCACGCGGGCAAGCCCGTAACGCACGTCTGGCGATGCGTGGGGGGGTTTGTTTACTTCCAATGTAAGGGCTTCCACGATCACCCCCGTCCACAGCCTAAGTCGTCACCATGTGGCGGGAAAAAAAGAAAGGTGGTGACGATGATGATGCTGGTGATGATGACGGTGGTGGTGATGATGGTGGTGGTGATGATGGTGATAGTGGTGGTGATGATGATGGTGATAGTGGTGGTGATGATGGTGGTGGTGGTTATGATGATTGTGATGGTGGTGGTGATGATGATGATGTCAGATGACGCTTATTAAATTGAAACACAGATAATAACGTCATTGTGTGACGTCATAACAATGACATTAACTTTTAATTACATTAACGGTATCATTACATTACAGAATCAGTCTACAGCCACAACGATAACAAAATCGTCAGCAGCGTCGTCGTCGTTTAAACGTTTAAAAAAGGAAAGCGCTGTCGCCGAAGCCACAGAAGTTACTTCTACAACTGCTGAAAAATCTGAAACTACAAGCCAACAACAACACCAACAACAACACCACCACCAACAACAACAACAACATAACGATAATTTTCTCTACAACCATCAACAACTGTATCAATATCATCATCATCATCATCATCATCAGCCGCAACAACATCAGCAGCAACTACTGCCATTCCAGCAGCAGCAACGACAACAACAATTTTTAAATCAACAACAACAACAACAGATTATCAACAAAAAGACTTTAACACCACCACTAACAACAGCACGTCATAATAATTATATCAATCCTACAGAAATGTTCCACTACAACAACAACAACATCAACAACTTTAACAACAACATCAACAACGACAACAACAACGACAACAACAATATTGACAACAGTATTTATAAATTCAAGCTTTCGCCAACGACATCACAGTCACCATTCTCACCATTATTATCGTTATCATTCTCATCATCATCTCTTTTAAAACCACCACCATCATCATCATTATCATTGTCATCATCATCATCATCATTGATGTCAACAGCAACAACATTAGCATCATTATCAACAACAACAACAACGTCAGATGACGTCACTCATTTGAAAACCACGTCATCACTCTTAGCGACTGGTTACGCTTCTCGGGTTGATGCAAAAAATGAAATGATTTTTCATGACAGTAAACTATGTTTAAGCAACAACAACAACTATAACATCAACAACTATAACATCAACAACCTTTATAATTACAACAACAACAACAACAATAGTGACGTCACCGCCAGCAGCATCAACAAAAACAATCTCAGCTGTTTTACTAACGACAAACTACCATTGACTAACGGTTATTATGATGTCATCAACAAAATCAACTGCACAACCAAATCGCACGTGATCAACAACTACAACAACAGCAACAACGACAACCTTACTAATAGCTATAATAATAACAACGACAATAACAATCTTTATTCTCAGCCAATTTGTTGGCAGCAGCAGCTTGAGCAGCAAAGACGGCAACTTTATCAGCCACACCACCACCAACAACAACATCTGCATGCACTAGCAACTGCACAAGGTTTATACAGCGACAAAACAACAACAACAGAATTGCTATCATCGTTATCATCATCAAAATTGTCATCATCATCATCACCGTTATTTCCAATGCAACAATCAACTACTACTACTACTAATACCCAACAACAACAACATCATCAACAACATATTGTTGTTAAACCCCTGCCGATGTATAATATCTACCCATATGCAACAACACACAACAGCATCAACGATGACGTCAACACCAACAACATCAACAACAACACATTCAACAACAACAACACATTCAACAACAGCAACATTGTCATAAACAACAACTTCAACGCAAGCAACAGCAACAACATTATCATCAACAACAACATCAACAATAGCATCAGCGTCGGTCGTGACGTCATACCGCTGAATTGTTACCCGGCTCCTGATTGGATGAGCTATCCTAATCATCATATTTACCCTTATCATTAACATTTATTTATTCAAGAAAATATAAGTATGGCCATAGATTGCTGAGTATTTCTCAAACTGATTCATGATCTTCGTCATCATGATATTGTTGCAATCATCATCATCAACATCACCACCACCATCATCATCATCATCGTGATCATCATCATCAACAAAATCATCATCATCATCATCTTGCATCCTTTTAAAAGTGAAAGCGGAATCCAGTTACATTAATTTTAACTTTTAATTGTGAACGAACGAGTTCACACAAAACACACACAAACACACACACAAAAACACACACACAAAGCTGTTTATATATAACTGTATATACTTCGTGTTCATGTGTGTACGCGTATGGTTCTGTGAAACCGATTATTATTATTAAAATTTACAATAATAATAATAATAATATTTTTATTATTATTTTATTATTATTATTATTATATTATTATTATTTTATTATTATTTTTATTACTTGCGGGATTGAATTTTTTTAAAAATGTATACATCGGCTGGCATTGTTTTTTTCACTGCTTTATAAATTTAAAATATGAAAACCAATGACAACTGCAGCAGCAACAAAAACAACACATCAACAACAACATCATCATCAGCAACAACAACAACAATAACAACAACAACAACAATAGCAACAGCAACAACAACAGCAACAACAGCAGCAAAAAACCACAATAAACGAGCAAATTATTTCTTAAATGCCGTGTAAAACTCATTTAAAACTAAAAATTCATTGCGATCGATAAGAAAGAACGATGACGTCATCATCGACGACGACAACAACAAAAACAACAACAAAAAAAACAACAACAACGACAACAAAAACAACAACATCACCATACGTAACATTCAACCACACAAAACTGCAAGGAGCCAACTACATCAAAGGTGATAAGATGACAGGCATATCTCAGCTATCTCTTCAGTCATCTTTTTAAAAATTAATTTACATGAGAGACGCATACATAAAAAAGTAAATTCTTAAATGTACATTACACGTACACACACGTAAACATACTTACACACACACACACACACACATATATATAATTACACCTGCACACACATACATACATACACCTACACACATATACATATATGTAAACATGCATGAAAAGTACACACATACAGATATGTACATACAAACAAATACATATAAACGTGATCATAAACATACACACATTCATGCATACAAACACACATACGTACATACACACGCACGCACACATTCACACACAATCTCACACATAGAAACACAGACGACAATAACAAATAAGAGAATAGCGATCTTCACTGTTATGCATATTTGACAAGAGTCAAATCGTAAAAATGGAACCTCATTCATTCATTCTTTCATTTATTTATTCATTCTTTCATTCATTCATTCATTCATTCATTCATTCATTCATTCACTCCATTCACTCCATTATTCATTCCTTGTGTCATTCATTCTTCTATTCCCTCATTCATTCATCATTCAACTTGATCCCAATTAAAGCTTAATGTTTGTTTTGTTTCAAACTACGTTGTATGCTAATGACACAATCAATCATAAAATCTCCTACTTAGTATATACTCTCTCTCTCTCTCTCTCTCTCTCTCTCTCTCTCTCTCTCTCTCTTCTCTCTCTCTTTCTCTTATGGAATCAACAAATTTTGAAAATGAGAATCAATATAGAAAACCCCCATTCCGTTATATTATGTAAATCAGACAAGCATCGTATACAAAAGACATAAAAACAAATACAAACGTACGCACGCATACACATAGGCTCTCTCTCTCTCTCTCTCTATCTCTTTCTTTCTTTCTTTCTCTCTCTCTCTCTTTCTTTCTCTCTCTCTCTCTCTCTCTCTCTCTCAGACACACACACGCAACACACACACACACACACACATACAAACAAAGTGTTAACTACAATTCTTCAGTTAATCAATCAATCTATCAACTCTCTTAATACACTCCCTCGAGATACGCTAAGGCATTTAACAGCACGGTACCTAAATACCTCAAATATAAATATCCTAATACCACAAACATTTAAAATGTAACACGGACAAAACAATACACTTCGCATAACTCACAAGTTGATACATTTTTTTTTATGAAAATTAATTCTAGATATAACTAATGGTTTATTATTAACATCAAAAGCAACAGCAACTACTTCTACTGCTACTACTACTACTACTACTACTATTACTACTACTACTACTTTTACTACTACTACTACTACTACTACTACTACTAATGCTGCTTCTACTACTACTACTACTACTACTACTACTACTACTACTACTACTACTGCTACTACTTTTACTACTATTACTACTACTACTACTAATATTACTACTCTTACTACTACTACTACTACAGCAGTAACAACAATAATAATAATTATAGTATCATTCCAAGCAAAGTTATTAGCAAGTACAATGCCAACGTGGCTATTTTTAAAGCAGCACAATCACTCTTACAGTTTCAATTAGGGATTCATATTTTTGACACACACACCACACACTCACAAACATACACACACACACACACACGCACACATATACAAACATATGTACACACAACGTACAAAACACACATACACACATATAAGGATAAAGGTACATACATACATATAATACACGCACACACATACATTCGCACAAGCAGAAACACACGCATACACACACATTCAAACACATATATACATATACAAAAACCCATATAACTAAACATACACACACAAACAAACGAACAAACACATATAAACATATATGGATTATATTATTCATTCAGAGAGAAACATTGAAAACTAAATTAAAACAATTTAGTCAGAGTACCAAATCAGGGTTTCACGAAACAGAACGGAACGAAACAGAACGAAACGAAACGAAATACGGTACCTCTGCATGGAACCTTCATGTGTCAGTAACGGCTAACTTAGATTGATATTCAAATGAAATCAATAAGAAACTAATGATGACATCAACATTCCCAATGTCAGCGCTGTCGAGATTTCCATCATAATCATTGTTATCATCATCGTCGTCGTCGTCATCGTGTCCATCATATTAACGCCAGCATCATCATCATAATCGTGATATCATCATTTTTGTTTCTAACACTAAAGACGCACCGAATATTCCGTTCTGTTTCGTGAAACCCTGAAATTTGATGTTCGACTTTGGGCCATCACTTGTCTTAAATTCCAGAACAATTTTTGATTATTAGCGCGAATTTTACATTTCCAATCATAGCTGTTGAAAGACGATGGATTTGAACAAGACAGATTTGAACAAGAGATTGGATACTGCCTGGATAAAGAATTGTTGGATGGACTAGGTTTGCATTTCATTCTTAAAAATTTTTCTAAACTGTGATATTCTGGCTTTGGTATCGGGCGATTAGCGGATCGACTATTCGGTACATCTCTGGTTATCAGTACAATCAGCATCATCACATTCGTCGTATCGTCATCCGTGTGCGATCAATAAAACATAATCAACACACGCCATATTAATTCATTGTAAATTTTATTCATTCAAAAAAGAATAATAATAACGACAATAACATTAGCGCAATTATTATTATCATTATTATTAGCAAATGATAATAATAATACTAAAAGAATCTTTCAAAAAATAATCAAACTAAAAAAAGTTTAAAAACAAAATAAATGTGTAATCATTCACGAATAGTAGTTAGAGCAGCTTACAACGGAACACGAAGTTCACGGGTTGGAAACCCTCCGATGCCACACTAATTACATCATTCAAGGTAGCTACCCAATGTAATCCTTACCTAATAGAAAAAAATTGCTTAAACTAACTTCTGTTAAAAAATTACATAAAAATAATAATAAATAAGAAGTTAAATATTATCATACGGTGAGTTGAATGTTCATTCGGCATTATGTATAAAACGCACCCGGTATAATATAACATACTTGATACAATTGATACACAACATTTATATAGCGCCACTGAATTTACCGATGTATGCGCTAAATAACGGAAAATTTAGTGATCTAACTGAGTGAAAATTGTGATGGAGTCGACAGTTTAAGACGAGAAATGGATTCCAGTCGTGTTATCATATACGTAGAAGCATACACTCGTACACAAAGAAGAGATACATACTGAAAAAAAGTACACATCTGAAAGGACGAACTATTAAGATCAAACACACACATACGTTTTTTTTTATACAGATATAATTTATAAATAAAATTCATTTACATTTATTTATTTATTCATAAATACGTGTACAAATAATAATAATAATAAGTACAAATAATAAAAATAATTAAAAAGAATAGAATCGAATGAATGCTTTCAATGCAATGATACGAGTTAATGATAATGACGACAATATAGGCTACAATAACAAAATGGCTACAAAGTCAACGCTATAAATAGCTACACGGATCACAAATCAAATGATTAGACGGCTAGATGTGGAGAAGCAGCCAATCAGATAACTAGATGAGAAACGGCAGCCAGCCAATCAGATGAGACCTCTCTTTTTCTTGTAATCATCAAGATTGAGTGATCGACGGTTGTTCGGTACGTGCCTCAGGGGGTCTTCCAACCTCGGGGCGGCCGCCAGTGGGACCTCTGTTTGGGGGCAGGTTGGAAAAATTAGGTTTAAAGTGGAAAAAATTGCCGAAACTTAGAAAAAAGCGCAAACCATGTTCGCCAATATCAATGACAACGTCGAAGTTGTGTATTTTAAATAAGTCGTCGACAACATGTTCAGGCTGGTCAGGTTTCGTTGCAGACGAGGCTGACGAGAGAGAGGACGCTGTCTTTGGATCTTTCGCGCCGTTTGTAAGATCCGCGCCTGCCCGTGCATCCACGTCATCTGATTCCAGCATCCTCAATCTCTTCAATTTCTCCCCCTCCAAGTCTCTGGCCTGTGCTCACGGAAGTAAAAAAAAATTAAATTAATAAACTTTAATGACCGGCGCATTAAAAATATTTCAATCCACATCAACATCAATCAACCAACCACTCAATCAACCAACCAATCACTCTACAACACAAGCCATTTAGCCACAGAAGCCTTAGTAGAAAGCAAGCAGCCAATCAACCAATTACTCCATACACCAATCAATCAGCCAATCAAACCTTAGTAACGAGGGTAGGCCTACACTGCCTCCTGGTGAACGGGTCAGCCTTGGCGGTCTTCATCTCGGCCACCTCTCTTTTACTGGCTTCGACTGCATCTTCGAGATTTCTCATGCGATTTCTCTGATTTATGTAACTGTGGGTGTGTGTGTGTGTGTGTGTGTGTGTGTTTCAATTGGTTTGAATAGTTAATTTTAAAGATAAACTAATTTTAAAGATAAACTACTATTATTATTATTAGCAATAGCAATAGCCGTATTGGCAGTAGTGGTAATATAAATATTAGTAGTAGCAACAGTGGCATTAGTAGAGCTGCAGTAGTAGTAGCAGCAGCAGCAGCAGCAGCAGCAGCAATAGTAGTAGAAGTAGTAATAATAGTAGAAGTGGTAGCATACCTAATAGAACTGATATTATTGGTTCTTTTTTTGTCCAGTTCTATGGCTCTCTCCTCTAACTCATCCAACTGTCTTTTAATATCTTTCTCTTTCTCTCTATCTCCATTTTGAATTGCTATTTCCTGTTTTGGAAGGATGACCAAAAATAATAAATAAAAAATACTAAAATAAATACGTCGTCATCAACTACACAATCACAGTCATAAGTAACGGACATGTTGTTTCATAAGATCTGTCTTTTTCATTGCATAGTTGTGTGGGTTCTTCTTGAACTTCTGCTTCTCTGCAACTATCTGCAATTTATTACAAGTAGTAAATACCACAAATACTATCAGAACGGTACTGCTGCTACTACTTTTACTGCAGTCATCACCGCTACTTCTGTCACCGCTACTTCTACTCTTGATACAACCACTTTCACTACAACCAACATCTACTAAAACGACCTACTACTATAAAAATTACTACGGGTACTAAAGCTTTACTGACGGCATTACTACTGCCTTCATTGTTACTGATTTTAATACCATTACTACTACTACTACTACTACTACCACTACTACTACTAATGCTCACCTGGTCGACATCAGTTTCATTGAATTTATAATTGAGGGCGTCCTTAATATCCTTCAACTTCAACTCGAGGTCGTACAAAGTGGGCAGAGGGCATTTGTCGTCTGACATCGTCTGCATCCATTTTGAGAACTCGGACTCTGTGTAGTCATTGTTCGAGACAAACTCCAAACGGTAGACTCTGTCTGATTTCCCATGTCTGTTGTGATGTTATTGTTTACTTGTTATATATAATGATGGTTGGTCTGTGATGATTGATCTATGATGGTTGGTCTACTATGACTATTCGTCTATGATGGATGATCTATGACTATTGGTCTATGATGGTTGGTCTATGACTATTGGTCTATGATAGTTAGTCTATGACTATTGGTCTGATAGTTTGTCTATGACTATTGGTCTATGATTGTTAGACTATGTACTGATGATGATGTTTTTGTTGCTGAATAAAAACAGTGACGAAAATAATAATAAAATGTCAGAAGAAAAATGACACAAACCTGAGTTTGAGACCCTTGTTGGTTCTAGTGGTTCCAAGTTGGTAAACTTTACCAGTTTCAACAACCTCCACGACTTGAGCAACCTAGAAAAATATTGATTAATTAATTAATTAATTAATTGATTAATAGTAAATTAAATATATGTTATATACAGAAATAATTACAGCAGGCAATACAGACTCAGTGGTGCTAGAGAAAAAGAAAACATAAACGTTTAAAAAGTTCATAATATAGCAGGGCGTCTATAACTTTTACTAATCCACAATCAAATCTACAATACCAAACACACATACAAAGATACATTCATACGTACAAAGATACATACATACAAACAAAGATACATTCCTACATACAAAGATACATTCCTACATACAAAGATACATTGACACATACAAAGATGAATTGACACATACAAAGATGAATTGACACATACAAAGATGAATTCATACATACAAATATGAATTCATACATACAAAGATACACACATACAAAGATACATTCATACATACTCTGTAAATAGGTCGGCCCTCGTGATTTCCAATGCCAATTTTCACAAAACCGCCGATGACTGTTTTGTTAAAAAATGGCATGTGGCACCATTTCTCCATCTTGTGCCTCGATAGTCTGATGCTGTTAAGCTCCTCCTTCGTGGATACGCTCTGCATCTTCTTCCTTTTAATCTCCGAAGATTCATCCTCGTCGTCGTCGTCCTCCTCTGCCTCCGACGATGAAGATGAAGATGATGAGGACGACGAGGAGGATGATGATCTGCGCTTCTCTTCCTCTTCCTGTTCCACTGCACTCTTTGCGTCGTCCTTCTCGTCATCTGAGTAAATATCTGACGTCTTTAGTTTCTTTTTTGATTCTTTCTCTCGTTCCTCTTGCTCTTTTTGCTGTTGGATTTGTTCGGCTGAACGTGCAAGGGAGAGATAGAAATGTTGGTAATGTAATAAAAATTATGAATAAATTTATATCAATAAATATAATATGTATATATATTTATAAAACATACAAATCAAACTACACACAGACAGACACAGCCAAAGAAACAAACAACCAATCAATCAAATAAGCAGACAGACCAACAAACCTTGCTTCTTTTTCTCTTCACGTCTTGCCCTCAAATCTTGCAAAGCATTTGTGGTCTTTGTGAATTTTTTATTATCTTCTATTAATTTCTTCCGAGTCTGGCTGGCTGACTTCAAGTTTGCACTTGCCCCAGACGACTGAGAGGACGTCTTACCTTTTGACTTGTCCTTTTTCCTCGCCTCTCTCAATTTTTTTTCTATGGCAAACCTGGTAGCGATGATGAATTATGGTGCTGGTGATAAAAGTAAATAAGAAGAATGAATTATGGTAATGGTTTAATTATTATTCAATTAAAATTGCAACAAACACTATTCCATCTCTAGTCTCAAATAAAAAATTCAAATTCACTTTTAGATATGCAAATTTTCTTGCCAACCTTGTTTTTAGAGCCTCTCTCTTCTCGATTCTGTTGAACAACTCTTGCTCTCTCTCTTTCTCAGTCATCATCTCTAATTTCTTTTTGTCCTCCTCGTCTCTTATCAAATTGTCATCCAAGCCATCGTCAAATTCTTCCTCAGAATCCATTCCTTCACTTTCTGAGTCTGACACTTCACCTGAGAGAGAGAAAATTGTAATTAAAAGTATATTAAAATTTATACAAATTAATTATTTTTAGAATTTAATTAATTAAAATTAAGTAATTTATCAAATGTATTTCAATTTTAATATTAATTTAATTAATTTTTATTTGATGTTTACCTTCCTCCGGTTCAGATTCGACTGATCCTGAATCCACTTTTCGTTTTTTAGATTCTGGCCTGCCATTTTTCTTCTTTCTTTTCAATTTGTTGCCAGAGGACCACTTGAAAAAAATTAATTAAAATAAAATTAACAAAAACTAGACATATACACCACAACACAAACTATGCACCTACACCTACACACACACCTACACACACACTCACATCACAACATACTTCCGCATCGCTGTCTGACGACGAGGATTCAGATTCACTGAGACGGGCTAAATTTGGCGTTTTCTTGTTTGCCAGGAGTTTTAATTCCTAATTTACAGTATACTACATTATAAATTTTAGAAAATATTAAAAAAAAAAAATAAACAATTCGTTTGTCGCAAATTTGACAAAAATAATAAAACAACACTAAAATAAATTAATTAGAAAAAAATTAGCCTTTTACAAACTTCGTCAAGATCATCACTGTCATCTTCATCACTTGAATTAATAAAAGCTTCGGATTTAGCCTTTCTGGACATATTTTTAATTATTAAAAAATTTACAAAATTTAAAAAACAGATTCACTGAGAAGGAAAATCGGATGTTATTTAGTTAAATCAGACTAATTAGTAGAATATTTTCATACAAAACAGTGAAGTAAATAAATCAAATTTACAATAGCCCAAGTTAAGTCGGACTCAAAGTCAAAGAAGCCAGGCAATGTATGGAAAGTTAAATGAATTTAGAATAAGTAGTAATGAATTTATCTTTCATTTTATTTATGTATTGTTGTTTCGATTGTCTGATTTTATTATATTATGTGTATTCTTAGATGTTTGAAACTTTAAAATATCACAGTATTCGTTCGTTCATTCATTCATTCTTTCATTCATTCATTCATTCATTCTGCATTTACATGAGTAAATATTCATTATATAAGGCTATAATAGTGTTGTATCATGTAACTACCAATATTTTCAATTGAACTATGGGATTTATTGTACTATGATTATACTATCAGTACATAAGAATTATCAAATCATATCTCAATATAGTAATTTAATTAGAGTATCTTTATCTACAGCAGTGTTTTTCAAACTTCTTTCTTCAGGGGACCCCCTTTTGGTGTTGCGAGATTTCTGGCGACACCTATACCAGCACCGATTATGTCCTTTCAAGGCGAGCAACCAATTTTTTTCGATCTAAATTGGTGAGGTGGTGATGCCTGCAAGTTTTTTCTCGTACGCCTCAGAGAACTAGTCTACTAATCGTGCGGTTTTCACACAAATAGAGATCACTGATTATCCTAACTACCATTAATCAGCAGTATTTACGAGTCTTACAGTCCTATTTACAAGTCTTACAGTTAAGTCGAGTACGGAAAAATGTTCTGTGTCAAAATTGTGCTTGGTGCATTTTGGAACCCTGGTTGAAAAACATGATCAACAGTATCATTTGCATCTGATTTTGTATCTTCCATTTTTTTTTTATTAATTTTAAGGTATTTGATTGCGGTAGAGATAAATTTTCATCAATCGATCAGTCAGTCAATCAACCAACTAACCAGCCAAACAATCAACTGACTATACTATTCAATCAATTAACTAATCTACCAAAATAAAAGGTGGGGAGAGAGAGAATGAGAGAATACGGATATACGGATGAATGATTTAATAACAATCAAAGAAAATAAATTTGAGTAATACTTGTTTTATACGTATTCTTTGGTATCAACATGTTCTGTCAAATCAATTGTAAACAAAAGGAGAATTCAAATTAATAAATCGTTACACGTGTGTATAAATAAATAAGAACTCGTTTTTACTCTAGGTTCAATTGATTAAGTTACACAATCACACAGACATACACGCACGCATACATACACGCACACATACATACACACATACATACACACATATTTAGTCATTATAATAATTTATTTAACATTTTTTTATTCCATTGACAAACAAAATGACACAAATAGAAATTCATCTGGTCTAATTACAAGGCGTTTGAAAACAATAATAATAATAATAATAGTAATAATAATAATATATGTAATAATAATTGCTGTAAAAATTATTCCTAATTGTTGTAAATAAAATAATTGCATTTTAATGGGTGCATTCATCCTATTCATCATCCTCATCATCATCTCTAATTATTTAGCGCCTTATTCTAAATCGTCGTCATCACCCTCGTCATCGTTTTTATCGAGAGAGGGAAGAGCAAATAGAGGAGATGATGATGGTGGTGGAGAGAGAGGACGCCCTATCATCACGAACCAATATCGAAGAGATCTGGTTCAACTGCACAATTGGCAAAGGTTCTTAGTCAGTCCTAGGTCCTCTAATATGAGAAAGATGGTGAGAATAAGTAAGAGGATGATAACGATGATGACGACGTTGATGATGATAGTAAAGTGAGTGAGATACTATCATAAAATTGATGATTTTGCTGATGAGGAAGACGATAATAAAGATATTTTTTACTCATCGTCGTCATCATCACCACCACCATCATCATAATCATTATCATCACCATCACCATCATCACAATCATCAGTACTACTCACAGGATCTTGAAAGATCCGCCCAATCCTTAGCAGACGAATGCATACTGATGCACGGATCTGGTGACACTAGAAATAGGAGGTAGAATAATAATAATAATAATAACAACAACAACAATAATAATAATGATAATGATAATAATGATATAAGGTACAAATCATTTGGTCAGAATATGATGGCTACAACGGGAAAAAGTTAACATTTCATTTTTATTCATTCATTCATTCTTTCAGTCGTTCATTCATTCATTCATTACATCACCAAAGATGTAACTGCATTGGATATCGTGCATCACTGGATTGAGCAAAGAAATTATTACGACGCCACAACCGATGAATGCATGCACGGAAGAGTGTGCGGTCACTATACGCAAGTATATACACACATACGCACACACGCACACACACACGTATACATACAGACACTCTCGCACATAAAATTGTACACGTATACTTGTACGCATAGCATACAATACCAAACAATACAAAAATATACAATACAATACATGAATACGCAGATGGTATGGTCCGAATCCTATTTGATTGGCTGCGGTATTTCGCACTGTCCGAAGTCGGAAGTTACCATGGCCGTCTGCAATTATTGGCCAAAGTAAAATGTTAATTAGATACTTAATTGAATTACTAATTAACCGAGTAACTATTCGATTAATTGACCAAATAATTAACCGAGTAATTATCCGACTAATTGACCAAATAATTAAACGAGTAATTATCCAATTAATTGACCAAATAATTAACCAAATTTTTAATCTAATAATCGATCGAGTAGCAAACCGAATATTTAAACGCATACTTGATCGAATATTTTAAATTATTTATAAATTTTAAATTTGGAAATGAAAAAAAAACACACATTGAAAGGGGTAATAATGAGAAAAGGCAGCCGTATAAAATAGGACGCAGCTGTGAATCATGTCCTGATACCGCGAAGATGTGCAAGAAATCTTTATGTGGTATCGATTGTTGATTGATGAATGGATGAATGATTGATTGATTGACTGAATAGATGAATGTATGAATGAGAGACTGATTGATTGAATGGACAAATGAGTGAGTGATTAATCAATTGATTGATAGACAGATTGAAAGTTACTGAATGTCTGAGTTTTGATTAACCGTTCAATCAATTGATTAATTGATTGATAAGTTGATTGATCAATTCATTGACTGATCAATTCATTGATTGGTCAATTCATTGATTGGTCAATTCATTGATTGATCAATTCATTGATTGATCAATTCATTGATTGATCAATTCATTGATTGATCAATTCATTGATTGAAAAATGCACATGCACAGTATCAGAATCTCCTTGCGAAATTATAGAACCTGACTGCCCCTCAATTCATTTGACGGAGTGTATCTGCGGTTAAACATTTTTTTAAAATAAAAATTATTACTTCTACTACCACTACTGCTACCACCACTACTACTACTTCTGCTACTACTACAACTACTACTGCTACAGCTGCTACTACTACAACTACTACTTCTGCTGTTGGCGTAAATAGAAAATGGATAATTTTTTGTTTTTTGATTATTGATTCAGCGAATTCGGAGGAAATTGTTACAAAAACAATGAAAAAAATCAGATACAAAACTTTCACCGAAGGTTTGAGTTTATATCCTAACCATTTTTTAAAACTAATATAAATAATGACCTTATAATGAATTATATAACCAACCAATCAATCAACCAATCAATCATCAATCTATCTATCTATCAACCAATCAATTAACCAATCTCAGCCAATCAATCGACCAATCACTTAACCACACAATATCCAAACCAAGGAAAGCACACAAATTTGTATGCACGCCCGAAACAGACAGTATTTGAACCATGTGAACGTTCCATAACAAACTACAAAAACATGGCGCTTCTACTATCTGAGCTGCAAAATACATCATTTGTAAATAAGCTTGAACCAGAGCAGCAGAATTAAAAGTTTTACTTAAAGGATAGAGTGTAGAATCAGGATGACCATAGTAGAGCAAGTTACAATAATCAATTCTAGATAAGACTAACGAAGTAACAAGAAGGAGAATTAACTAAAAAGTTTTAGAATTAGGTAAGATAATAGAAGGAATGGTAATAGAGTGTATAGATTCATTAAATCAAATTAATTCAAATTTAGAAGGATTAAGTTTAAGACACATAGAGTCAGACCAAGCGATAACTGAAGAAAGACATAGATATAGATTATGAAGAACACTATTGAGATTACATAACATTTTTTTAAATATTTGTACATATTATAATTCACTTATCATTAATTTCATATTTTATTGTTACAAATGAATGGATAAATAAATGCGGTTATGATAGGGCTAAATTTAGAATAATTGTACAACAGAGAACGATGAAAATGACACAATACTGTCTCTCGTTAGCGAAGGAAATTCGAACGTTGCCCTACTGTCAACTTTGATCATTTTTAAAACAAAATTATTGTACCATTTATTCTTTTTTGGATGTTATGTCGGTCTCTTTTTAGGTTATATGATTTGATGGTCATATGATGATTGATATTTAATAAATGTGTGTGTTGTGTGTATGTGTATGTGTGCGACTGTATGTGTGTGTGTGTGTGGTGTGTGTGTGCGTGTACATGCATGAATGCGTGCATGCATGTATTTATAATGTATATATAACATTGAATTGTATAAGGTTCTTAACTTATTTTTAGCACTTAATTAATTGTTAATTTAATAAAAACGGTAGTTTTGTTCTTAATTTTTACTACTACCGTTACTATTACCACTACTACTACTATGATTATTACTACTACTACTACAAATAATAATAATAATTCATAGTAGGAGCAACATAAATATACACGTTGCTATGGTAATAAAAGCGGCGAAAAAACTTTGAATTAGAAAACATTTTTGTTTTCAAATTAAATTAACCATCAGAATTAATTAACTTGAAAAAGTGGCTGAAATGAATTTGAATCATTTTCATTGTTTGAAAATTAATGCCCATCTGGTGGTTTTCATAATTCTTTTCTTATATTTCTGTTTCGGATGCGCTGGAAGTCTCGATATTTCCCGAGAGGTAACAACGAAATTCTTGGAAATTTTTCCTTAATTTTTATAATTTTGTAAATTATTAAGAAAAATTATCATTTGATTTAGTAAAATTGTTAAGTATTTGGCTGGCGAGCTTTTAAATTAACTAGATTTTACCAAACGAGTAAAATAAAGTATAATTTATAACGAATAAAACATGAATAAATTTGAAATTTTGTTAAAAATCGTCCAGGTTCACCGTCAGATGCGATGGAGACGTAAAACTGGCGATAAGAATGCACTGTCCAATGAAGAAAGGAAGCTGTTCTTGAAACTGCACAACGATTTTCGGAGCAAGGTCCAGCCGACCGCCTCCTACATGAGAAGAATGGTTTGTGAACGTTTCCTTTAAATGGTCTTTTATTGCAAATATTTGTCGTTTTTATATAAAACAAGTTTGTAGTCTTTGAGATAAGCTTCTAGAAGGTTTTCTTATTTTTCCAATTTGAGAAAAGATGCAATCCGGTTTTTATAAGGTGCTGGAGAAAGAGAGAGAGAGAGAGAGAGAAAGAAAGAGATTGGGAGAATATAAAATAGAGAGCTATAAAATGTTGTGTATTAGCTGAAACCATGGATATATATATATATATATATGAAAAAACCGATATGAAAAAATTGAAAAGAGTAAAATTCCACATGAAAAGGTTACAGTAAGAAAATTAGGATGATGGAAACATTTGCCGGCAAACTGTGAAATCATTTGAAATTGTATGAGTGAGGAAGTGGGACCGGAAAAAAAAAGTTGGAAAACCTGCCGACCTATTCAACCTGAAAAAGAAATAGATAGATATCTCTTTATTTATATCAAAAAATTTTGAAAATTTTCATTATAAAATTAACGACCATAGTGTAAACTATGCAGTATTATTCGTCTGAGTTGGAAAGAAATGCACAGTGGCTTGCCAACCAATGCGTTTTCGCTCACATGTTCCCACCTTCAATAGAATCGGGCAAATACCCACAGCAAGGACAAAACATAATATGTATGTAATCATTATATTATCTTTTCAAATCATTTTCAATTTTTTATATAATTATTTTTCTTTAAGTAAGAACGCATGTTTCATTGAGAACTAAATAGCTCTTTAAACCGATGGAATTCAGTTGAGCCGGCCCAAAACAACGCCTCCATCGCATGGGTCGTCACCACCCTACACAATGAGGTTCACAATTACGACATCACTCAAAACAATTGCAAGCCTAATGAAATATGTGGCCACTACACCCAGGTTTTTATCAACTTCTCTTTCAGCATGAACAGCTTGTTCACCAAACTTATTATCATGCTTGATTGAACCGCTCATATGTCCTCAGATTGTATGGGCCGATACATATATACTCGGATGTGCGAAGAGGTTTTGTGAAAAAATATCCGGAGTGCCGAACAGTTTCTACTACGTCTGCCAATACTATCCACCGTAATATTTTAATTCAATTTTTTATTATGCACTTATTTATGCCTAACCTGTAGGCATCACGCCATTGCAACCTTGATATTTTCTATATTTTAAAAATGACTCGGCCCGAAAGATATGAAATTAAGAAAACACCGACCTCGTTCGCCATATTTTCAGTACACATTCGCGTTTGCAATTCATTCACATTCATTTGCAATTCATTCATTCACATTCACAATTGTTTTAAATTGATTCAAAATATTTAAAGATAATTTTAATTAATAAATAAGACCTATTGGTAAATTTGAAACAGAGGAAATTTTAATTCCCAACGTCCATACACTGTCGGCCCATCGTGCAGTAAATGTCCCCTAATGGCTTCAGACTGCAAGGATAATCTTTGCGGTATGTTGTGTGATCTGTTAGGTATTATTCTTAGAAATGATTTTAAGATTATCAAGAATCTATGTTTCAGTTTATAAAATTTTTAGTTCAGAATCAAGTAGACGTTTATAATGATAAACTGGCATAAAATAAGCTGCTAATTTTAAGTGAGTTGTTGAATTTATAGGATACGAGAAACCGAGCTGCGACCAAATTGAGAAGGATTGTGAAGTGAAAGATAATGACGACTGCCTCTGCGGTGCGTATTCTGTATACACACTCGCTCACTCACCACACACACGCACACACACCACACACACACACACACACACACACACACCACACACACACACAAGTGTCTGCCTACGTAAATTTTTACTTATTTAAACTCAAGATTGACTTGTTTATTACGGTATTGAGTGCTAGTCTTACTTACTATTTTAATTCCTAAACAGATGAAAACCACAAGGCTTATGATGCTGCTACTTACCTGCCAAACTTCGGCGGACACTATGTCTCATTCATCTTGATAACTGCCATTAATTATTGATATTTGTTTGTTTTATCTTGTTCATTTTATAGCTTCATTGAAATAAATTTATAATGAAATAGGTTTAATACTTAAAATTTTATAGCTAAATTATACGATTAATAAGATGCATTTGAAATTTTAACGTTTGATGGTAATATAAGTTTAAAAAAGTAAGCAATTTTTTTTAATATGGGTTAATATAGTTATTAACATGTATGTAAGTGTATGGTAGTTAAGGTTCTCTTTGTGGTTTGAGAAAACATTTCCATTCCAACCAAAATTCAAACTATTTCCCGACAAAAGGTTTTATACCGCGCTATAAAATGTATATACTTATATACAGTCTTCCATTAAATTTTCGCGTCTGAGACTGTTTCAAATCTTTTCAAAAGTTTTTAAATTTAATTTAATATTGTTAGAAATTTACTTTTAATGATTTTTTCAATTAAAAATATGAAATTGATATTTTTGATTGTTTCATTTTATTCGAACTACGCCCTGGCTAGACAAGCTGTCAGTGATTTTTTAAATTTTATAATTTAATTAAATAAAATTATAATTATATTAAAATTAAAATTTTAAATTCATCATAACATGATGAATGTGATTATTAATGCTTGTTTAATTAAATATATTTATTTTGAATAATTTTCATTAATTTTATATAATGATTTATTGAAAATAACAGAATAATTTTTTTAATTAAAATTAATAGATGAATATTGGTTTGTTGGTGTCACACATAATATATAATAATTAGAAGGACATAAGTAGAGGTAATTTAATTAACAAGCCTTTTTTTGTCCATTAGTATCCGCGAATTAGGAGGGACTCTATGGCCATGACTCACGCAGATAGGGTAGCTGTTGTGTCAGGGCACAATGATTACAGGAGATATGTTCAGCCTCAGGCATCTAACATGCAGAGAATGGTAGTAAAATGTAGTAGTAGTTGGTTTATTGATAGATGGATTGATTGATTAATTGATTGGTTGGTTGGTTGGTTGGTTGGTTGATTGGTTGATTGATTGATTTAATAATTGCATCTGATATTGTTTCTCACATAGAATTGGCAATAAAAATATAAGCAGATCAAAAAATATGTTGTACTTTTTGTAGAAAATTCAAGCCTCATTGATATTTTTTGAGTTTGGTTGGTACTGTCTATAAAAAACGTTTATCTATTAATTTATTTTATTTATCACAATTTTCTCGGCAATATATTTCAGAAGTATCAACAGCAAACATACAGTCTATGCAAATGCACACGCATCACACACACACACACACAGCATTCTGATAAGTGAGAATCTCTTTTCATTTGAACCTGGTTACTGCAACATTGGAACAGCGCGCTGCCCGTGACATGTTCGTTGAACTTTTTGCAGTACTACTCTTCAGAGTTGGAGAAGAATGCCCAGTGGCTCTCTGACCAGTGTATATTGAAACACATGAAAGCTCCCTTCCAAGCTTCTGGCAAATACAAACAACAAGGACAGAGTATATTTGGTAATCTGCCATCTTTTATAAAATTCGAGAATTTAAATATTCAATAATCGTTTGAACTATTATAATTGCTATAATTTATATAGCGGTATTTACATTAAACCAGCTTTTTCAGAAGTGTCTGTGGGGTACGTGTCGCGATTCTGTAGCGTCATTTTTTTACTGCTCATTACTAGTTTATGATTTTTCCCAGCACAGTGCAGGCAACACAGGTACATCTTACATGCAAAATAACCTATCGCACACATCACAACACATCACAATTGATAAGCAGATGGGGATCTCTTTGCAGTTGAACTCGATGACTGCCATGCCGGCTGAGCAAACTTCTAGCCAGTACCTTTTTAAAAATTAATTACTAACTGATAAATTTATTTATTATTTTCATTCGTTCGCTCATTCATTTGTTCATTCATTTAAATGATAAAAATTCACCCGTGACACACGCACCAGCCGGGTCTGGAATTTCTGCTGATAAAGCCATAAAAGCAAGTATAGATAGTTGGTACAGTGAAGCAAAGTTCTATAACCTCGATACGAACGCGTGTTCCCCTCTTCCAAAGGGATCATGCGGACATTACACTGCGGTGAGTTTACGTGCTAGCTGCTTTTTGGGTTACATTTATTTATGAGTCGTTGTTGTTGTAACGTCAGTTGATTTCCTCGGCCCTACGTATGGTGACCAGCTTCAAATGCAAATAGATCTCAAAAAGTTTACTATGCATATTCACGCGATGTTTGCGTCCCGGTTGAATATTCATTCCCAATTTCAAAATTTATCATGACTCTTTTTTCTGAATTTGACGGGGACAGATGGTCTGGGCAGAGACCTTCATCGTCGGCTGCGCCAAAACATTTTGTCCAAGTTCGAAATTATGGTACGTCGTCTGCCAGTACTACCCTCAGTTAGTACGAGTAGCAGTTTGTTGTATTTCAGTACTCACAACTCAAAATCTTAACCTACCTGATAATTATTGTTAAAGTGATCAGCCAATCTAATCAACCAGTAGCGGTATATACACACACACACATACATCACATTTTACATGCACATACACACATCTGTTTTCAGTCCAAATATGAATCAACGGAGGCCTTACGTAGGTGGCAGCCCATGCTCTGCTTGCCCTAGCGATAAGCCTAAATGTGATGATAAACTATGTGGTAATGTTCTAATTTTTTTTTATAATTTTTATTTGTTATTATTACTATTTTGTTTTGCTAACTCTATCGAGACATCATAAAGGGCAACTTATATGTGTATAAATAATAATCCATATATGCGATGAAAATGCGATTTTATGCTTCATGCCCTGTTTTTCTTACATCAAGTTTTTGTTTTTTGAAAAAAAGTTTAGATAAAATGTCATCTACTGCCTTGTCGGGATCGTGTTCAACTGGAAAGAGATCCTTATTTTTATCTATCTTGCATCTGGCAAGACAGATAAAAATCTTGATCGAAGGATCTCTTTCCAGTTGACAAGTTAAAAAACATAAAAATAAACGATCATTTTACAGCGATCATTTTTTTACGGTTTTAACTGAACTGAAAATGATATTTTCAATAACTAACTATAAAATAATGATTGTAAATAACGCGTTTTAGTGAGTGAGAAACCGGCATGTGATAGCGTTGAAACCGATTGCACAGTTACCGATCAAGAAAATTGTATCTGCGGTATGTGTTGTATATTTATTTTACATTATTTGTGTTAGAATTAGTGAGTTTATATTAATTATATGTGAAGTATTTACATTTAAAAGATACAATTTTATCTTGAGATTTTTGCGATATCTGCAAAAGAAATCAGTGCAGAAAGATTGTGTGATGATTTTTATCGTTGAGACATTTAGTAAACCGGTATCAAATCCAATTCAGCATAGACTAAATCAAAATGATTATTCAAATGTTTACCTAATTAAAAATTAATCTCTTTAAATTGTAATTATTAAAAACGTCATCATTTTTAGGTGGTGCATCTTATGGTTTTGCTGTCAAATCATCCGAATCCTCTAGATTCTTTTTGTTATTTTCTGCATTAATAACAATTTTTTACATAATAGTTTATAATTAATTAAACTGTTTTTATCGTTTTGTTAATCAATATTTTACCATTTTCTGGTTTTGATTTAGTTGATTCATTGTTGGAATCGGGAATCAAATTGTTATAGCTCAATTGTATGTAATTAACACGCATCTTTATGTCATGATTCAAATTAGCGTCGCGTCAGTTTTTTTTTTTTATAAATTTCAGTTTTTAGTCTACTATGTTGTAGTTTAAGCGCAAAAGATTGCTATAAATTGTTTTTTATTTTTTTTCACCGTTAATGTAGTTTTAAATTAGTGTGTTAAGCCGAACCAGAAATGTACTCACGGCCGAACTGAACAGGGCACGGACTTACCAAGCCCGGACTTTAGATATTGTCATACCCAAACTTTATAAAAGAAAAGTTTGATTCTTGTCTCTAATTGTATTATTAAAATTTAAAAGATTAATTAGAAAAATTGAAACTTTAACGAATCGATTTAATGGTTAGTAATAAAATTATAAGCTATTCCTCGATTTACTAGGTCATCTAATTTAAATTTACTTTTAAACATTTAAAATTCTGGAACTCTGATCGATTTCTGACCATAATCGCTATTTTTAATGAATTTGCGTTAACATAATTTATTTTGATATAACAAATCAAAATTGCATTGTTTTAATTTAATAATCTTGTTTTGTTGGATTTTGTATTAAATTTTAGTTTGACTTTTTTCTCCTATTTCTTTTGGCCTACTGGCTAGCACCATCATTTCAAGTTTAGTTTAGTAGTTTTTGAGTGTTCAGTATAGATCGGGATTAGGTATACTTTAAATTAGTGTAAGTATTAATAGTAAAAGTAGAGTAATCTAGTTAGTCAGTCTCGTCTTGCACTTTGAATCATGAAATTAGTAGTGATATTAACGAGTTGTGTAGTCACAGCTACCACAATCTACTTCTCCATGGCCGTGGTTCCTACCCCGCCCCAAGGGGCACGACCTTCAAAGTATGCTGAAGAAGATAAGTGTGCGACCTGTGAAAGAATTGTTGAGAAATTTAAACAGGTTATTTTTAAATTTTTGTTTTTTTTTTCTTTAAATTAATTTAATAATTAATAACTAAATAAAAAAAATCAATAATTATTAGTAGTAAAATTATATATAATTATACTATATTAATAACTAAATCATAATAATATAAAATATGAATGTATTATAATACAATTAATTATTTATTAAATTTTTAAAGGGCTTACTTTCAACATCCAAGTCAAATTTTGGGGGAGGCAACACAAAATGGGAGGAAACTAATTTAGGCAGCTATGCATTTAGGTAAATAATATTTACTTTTTGTGTCTTTAATTTAATTAAATAATTAAATGAACGAACATCAATTAGTTACTTTTAAAGTTAATTAATCAATTAATTATCATAAATCTTAAATGTTATTCATCTAGCGAAACAAGGTTCTTAGAAATTATAGAGGATATTTGTTCAGGGCAGAGCCAACAGGTAAAAATAACAAATAATTAATTAAAATAAATTACTAAGCAATTTATAAGTCAATTAATTAACTAGTTAATTAATTAAAACTCTAATAGGTGTTTCTTTTTATTAATTGTAGTGTCACCAGATGTTGGAAAAGTATGAAGATGTCTTGGAAAATTGGTGGAAGAATGTCTTTGCCAAGGGAACAAAATCAGATCTCAGGGATTTCTTTTGTATCAGAAGAACCAAAGGTTAACAAAATTAGATATTACATAGACATTAATATGGTAGGGTTAGGATTAGGTTAGATTATTATTAAAATTTTTATTATCATTTATTATCTTTAAATTGTTGATATCTTTAAAGTGTTGTTAGAAAAAATTACCATGCTACTAAGTAATTGAATACACACATCTATATATCTATACACTTGCATAAATTCAAACAAACACACGCAAAACACACCCAGATACACTCTCTTTCTTTTTCTCTCTTTCTCTCTCTCTCTCTCTCTCTCTCTCTCTCTCTCTCTCTCTCTCTCTCTCTCTCTCTCATACACACACACACACACACACACACACACATATGCAAACATTTGTACAGTTTGTTGCCCACATGGTACGTATGGGCCAGACTGTCGAGACTGCAAGCCAGATAGAAAAAACCCCTGTAACGGGAATGGCATTTGTGATGTTTGTACATGTGTCTATGAGATTGTGTGTGTGTTTGTTTGTATGTGTGTTTGTATTTGTGTATATGTGATTATGTGTGTGTGTTTGTGTGTGTATGTGATTGTTTGCGTGTGTGTGTATATATGCGTGTATATGTATGTTTGTATACAATAATACCCTCTAACTCTCACCCTCAAAACAGGGTGACGGTACTCATTCGGGTACAGGAAAATGTTCGTGTCATCCTGGCTATGAGGGTGAGCTATGTGGCAAGTGTTCAGATGGCTACTATGCTAGAAAGCAGAGGAATGTTGCTGCAGATGGAGATGCTGCAGCTAATAATGGTGGGGGTGTGGTTTGTGAAGGTCTGTGGGCAGTTTTTTTTAGAAATTTACATCTTTTACAATTCTTACATACATACATACAATTTGTACATATGTACATATATACATACGTACATACAAACATACATACATACATTTGTGAGATATGTTACATACATACATACATACATACAAACATACTTACATAGTGTGAAAAATCGAAAAAACGAACTACAAACATATTAACACCAAACATTCGGTACAATTTATAGAATATTGTAAAAATTATTGTCGTTTACCAACACATACATATGTACATACATACATACGTACGCATACATACATATGTACCGAGATACCTCAAAGTACCATAATATCCCACTTAGCTTGCGACCAATCATGTCGGTTGACGTGTACAAAGGCTGGCCCGATTGGCTGTCACTCGTGTAAAGATGGATGGCTCATGGTCGATGGTGTTGGTTGTTCTGGTTCGTTGGTTGATTGATTGATTGGTTTGTTGGTTGGTTGATTGGTTTGTTTGTTGGTTGATTAGTTTGTTGGCTGATTGATTAATTTGTTGGTTGATTGATTGGTTTGTTGGTTGGTTGATTGGTTTGTTGGTTGATTGATTGGTTGATTGATTGGTTTGTTGGTTGGTTGATTGGTTAGTTGGTTGATTGATTGTAAGTAAACTAGTGATTTATTGACTGATAGATAGATAGATTGATTGAAATTTTTCTCACAAAAGACCTAAACGAATGTGAAGATGCATCGATGTGCCAGGTCAATGAGTACTGCGTTAACAACGAAGGATCATATCAATGCATTAGTAAGTTTATTGGTTGATTGATTGGTTAAATGATTGGTTGATTGACTGATTGATTGATTGATCGATCGATTGATTGATTGATTGATTGATTGATTGATTGATTGATTGATTGATTGATTGATTGATTGATTGATTGATTTGTTGGTTGGTCGGTTGACATATTGCAGCCTGTCACAAAGCTTGCTCCCAATGTGGCGGACCAGACGTCGAAAGTTGTACTGCCTGCGCGAGCAGATATTTCAAAAACAACAAAGGAATATGTAGTGGTTGGTTGTTGGGCTGATTGATTGATTGGTTGATTGATTGATTGATTGATTGATTGATTGATTGATTGATTGATTGACAACAGCTTGCCACGAGTCGTGCCACTCGTCATGCACAGACGAGACAGCTTCGACATGCGACCAGTGTAGGAAAGGCTGGAAGAGGACTGAGAGTGGCGAATGTCAAGGTCGAAGTCGTTATTAGGGTCTTGATAATGGTGAATCTGGTTATGATGATGAGAGTGATGAAGATGATGTGATGACGTCATTATCCTCATCATCGTCATCACCATCATGGCCACAGATCTGGATGAATGTACCATGCCAGGGTTCAGACTGAGGTGTGCCCTCGACGAATATTGCGTCAACTCCATTGGCTCCTATAAATGCTCCAGTTAGTATTGATGATGATGATGATGAAGAATGATAATGATGATGACGACGATGATGATAGTGATGATAACGATGATGGCGATGATGATTATCATGATTTTTATGGTGGACATACATACATACATACATACATACAAACATACATATACATACAAACATACAGCCTGTCATCCAACCTGTTTAAGTTGTCACGGGCCTGGTAGAGATAATTGTAAACAGTGCAAAGATGGCTACCATATTGAGGAAGGCGCTTGTGTTGGTTAGTTGATTGATTGATTGATTGACTGACTGATTGATTGATTGACTGACTGACTGATTGATTGACTGATTGATTGATTGATTGATTGATTGATTGATTGATTGATTGATTGATTGATTGATTGATTGATTGATTGATTGACACAACAACAGACACAGACGAATGCCTGAAATCATCGGAAGTCTGTCCAGGTACCTCTCGGAAGTGCATCAACCTACCCGGATCGTACAGGTGTGAGTGTGTCGTGGGATTCAAGGACCATGGTGGAGTGTGTGTCCCCAAGTCACAAAGTAGGAATGTGCTGGTTGTTGTAGTTGTAGTTGTTGCTGGTGGTGGTGTGTAGAGTTGTGACGTTGTTGATGTTGCTATTAGGAATGGGCTGATTTTTTTTTTCTTGTTGTTGTTGGGGTTGGTGATTCAAATTTTTTCTTTCTGCAGATGACGACGACAATCGATCACCATCATCATCATCACCACCATCGCAATCGTCATCATCATCAACAGCAAAATCCAAACAGCAACATCAGCAGCAACAACAACAACCACAACCACCCGCCAATTCAAATACAAAGAAAAAACACCAAAGAAAAAACACAACAGCAACAATAAGCAACAGAGATTATTTAAAATACTTTGGCATGATGTTGGTCTTCATAGTGGTATGCAGGCTGAGTCGCAAGAGTGTGGCTCTGCAAGCTACCACCGTGGTTCTCTTCAGTGGCGTTTTGTTCTTATATGCCAATGAGTTGGATCGTATAATTAAGAGGTAGAAAGTGTATTAATCTTTTGATCGAGTGGTTGATTGATTGATTGATTGATTAATTGATTGATTGATTTGTAGATTAGTTAGGCAAGTTGGTGTTTTAAAATCAGTTTTTATAAATAAATTGTTAATATCGTAAGTCATTTTATGTTGATGTGGTATCATATTTAACTTCTTGTATGCATATACAACATTTCATACAATTATTGTTTTGTATTGTATACAGATTATTCGTTTGTTGTATTGTATACACAATATTTGTTTGTATGTTTGTATTTTTTATGTATTTTCGTACTTTTTTTGTATTTTAATGTATGCGTGTATGTTCATACAAAGTCAAACATACAAATACTTATACAATCAGACGTACAATTAGATACACACACATACATACATACAAACATACACATACATACAAAGAAACAAACATACATGCATGCACACATACAAAAATATACAAAGACATCCAAATAGTAATGGTATCAAGTTGTAATTTAACACTGTTTGCTTGCCATTTCACTGGAAAGTAATGTAGTGTAATGTATATTTATGTATGTGTGTGTGTTTGTGTGCGTGTATGTGTATGTGTAATGCATCTCATATAGAAAAGAGTAATGAACATTTAAAGGATGCTCTGTGTACAAAGTCAATCATACAAGTAACTCATACAATCGGACGTACAATTAGACACACATACGTACATACAGTCATACACATACAAACATACCATATCGTAACGTACCATATGCATTTATTGTGTGTGTTCCATATTTCTTTTATATCGTTATGCTGTGTGGTCTCGTTTCGTTTGGTACAAGCATCGTATCGAAACTTTTCTGTATCGGTATAGTTTCGTCTCTGTACCGTTTCGTTTCGGGTGTGTAGGAGAGATTTTTTTTTACATTTGGCTGATGTTTGATTTCATCATTTTATCTAAGCATGCTTTATGTTGTATGTAGGTTCAATGTAAGATTAATGATCTTTCCACTTTACTTATTATTATTATTATTTATTGTTTTTATTATTATTATTTATTGTTTTTATTATTATTAATTCATCCTATCATGTACTGAAATTGATTTCGTTTGTTAACTGGTTTAGTGGATTGAGTAATTGATTGATCTGTTAATTAATTGATAGATTGATTGATCGATCGATTGATTGATGTTTTTAATATATCAAGATACAAATTTTAATTAATTAATCAATTATATTAACTTTTGCTTTACTTTTGGATCTCGATTTACTGGAATTAACTTATTATTAATACGGATTCAGACTTAAAACATATGCGTTCTACGACGGGGCGGGCAAGCTAAGCTACGGCCAAAATAAGTTCGTCAGCCAGACATTATGGCCAAAAAAAGGAGCCACAAAACGTCTCAAAAATATTCCCCTTGGTCGAAAAAATTTGCTATTTAAGTACATATGCGGCCCTTTAGAGATAAAAAAGTTTCCAATTCGGCCCTCACTGCAAAAAGTTTGCCCACCCCTTATCTACGACAATGCGTTTTTGTACTTTCTACGTTTAAGATATCAATTGCTGTTGTTGTTTTTGCTATTCCATAACTTTTTTTACTTTTATACGCACCTACATATACATACATACAAACATACGTACATACATACCTACACACACACATACATACGTATATACATACCTACACACACACATACATACATAGATACATACATACATACATATGCACACACATACATACATTAATGCATCTGAATTAGTGTTGAGTTTTTATTTTAGCAGACTTATATTGTTACTGTGTGCGCGCGTGTGTGTGTTGGGGTCATTTTGAAAATAAATATGTGTGTGAGAGAGATGGATAGATAGAGAGAGAAAGCGAGAAAGAGAGAGAAAGATAGAGAAGAGAGAAAAAGAGAGAATGTATTTGTTTTTTATCTTTCTCCTTGTTCCCGTCATGAATAGGCTATGCTTTTGTATGATTAATATCCATTCATCTGTTTTTTTTTCATCCATCCACTCATCTGTTTTTTCATTCATTCATCCATATATTCATTCTTTCATTCATTCACATCCATTCACTTGTTCGTTCGTTTGTTCGTTCATTTATCTGTTTTAAATTGCTTATTTACGCTGTTAATATTTGCCTGTTGGCGTTTAGATTTTAACGAGTTATTTTTCTCATTGTTGTGGTTATTAACATTATTATTATCATTATTGTTATTATTATTAGTGTTATTATTATTAGTGTTATTATTACTCTTGTTATCATTGTTGTTATGGTTGTTGTTTATTATGAATTAATTTTCAATTGTAGCAAAAATAAGACAATGCGCACTTTTACTGCCGCAACCGAAATCACAAATGTATAAAGTTTTTAATAATAAATAACATCAATAATAATAATAAATATAATAATAATAATAATAATAATAGTGGTAATAATAATGATAATAATAAATGTGTCACGTGACGTGATGACGTCAGAGATAGATAGAAAAATGAACGATAATATGATTTTTTACCCGATAAGAACAATGCTTCAAGCACTAGGACGAACGATTGATGGATGGATGGATGGATGGAAAATAAGTGAATAAATGAATGAATGAAATCATATGGCGATGAGTTTATTGAATGATGTATGAGTAAAAGAATAGGGGTACAATTAATGAACAAATGATCGTATGAAAGAGTGAATGAATGAATGAAAGAGTGAGTGAATGAATGAAAGAGTGAGTGAATGAATGAATGAAAGAGTGAGTGAATGAATGAATGAACGACAATAGCAAAACATAAATTCATAATTTATTAAATTATTAAATGCTAATAAATATTACACAAACAAGTAAATGTACATCAAAGGAAACGAATAATGTCGGTCATTAATCACGGTTATGCGTGTGTTTGTATGCATGTACGTGTATATGTGTGTGTGTGTGTGTGTGTGTGTGTGGTGTTTGTGTAAGTTTAAATTGTAGTAACAGACAAAAGTGCCTTGGTTGGGTGCGTTGTTGAGGCTTTTGTTTTGTTGTTATTGTTTTTGTTGATGTTATTGTTGTTGCACACTTCCGGCAGAGTGTTAGCGCTGGATTTATTGACGATCTTTAGCGAATTTCCAGGTGGATTTCTGTTGGATTTTAAAATGCTTTTGTTGATGACGTTGTTGTTGACGTCATTGTTGATGATGTTGTTGTTGTAGTTTATATTGTTATTTAGGTTGTTGATTATAATGCTGTTGTTGTTAGTTATGTTGTTGTTGTTGTTGTTGATGTTGTTGCTGTTTCTGTTAATGTTATGAATAAACCCGTTTGTTTTAATTCCTCTCTTGGTACGAAATATTGGCGCCAATTTTGTTAAATTAACGTTGTTGTTGTTTGGCTGTTGTAAACCATCTTTATCAGTTAAGGCCGTTCGGTTTGTATCGTTTGGGTTATTGCAGCTACTTTGTTTTTTGTTTTTCCTCCTTGTTATATATCTAGTGCCGTCTGTTCGCTTCTTGATTATCCATTCTGTGTTGTTCACCAAAGTGTTGCTGTTGTTGTTGCTGTTGTTGTTGCCACTGTTGTTATTGTTGTTGCCACTGATGTTGTTGCTGTTTGTTGGCTGAGAGAACTGACTAGTGTTGTTGATGAGTTGTTGCTGAAAGAGTCGTTGTTGAATCATGATTGTATGATGCAGGTTCGCCCTGTTCGTGTACATTATCTCCGATAGCTTTCCATAAATTTCACCTCTTTGCTCATCTACGCCATCTTCTCCTACTACTACTACCACTTTTTTTAGTTCGTTTTGTTGTTGTTGTAGTGGTAGTAGTTGTTTGGGCGAATTTGTCGCTTGCTGTTGCTCCTGTGGTTGCTTCCGCTGTAACGGTTGTGGTTGCTGATGTTGTTGTTGCGATTGTTTTTGTTGTTGTTGTTGCGTTTTGCTGTTCATCACAGTTGAGATGCGCTTTTGTTGGTGTTGTACAACTGACTGAGATTGATTCAGAACTGACTCAACGTTGAAATTATCATCAACGAAACTGACTCTGTTGGATTTTGCATTGTTGTTGTTGTTGCTGCTGCTGCTGTTGTTGCTATTTGACGTGCGCATCATTATTGATTTTGGTTTAATTTGATTGACGTTTTGTTGAATGATTGGAGAGATTCTATCGATATTCATCTTCAGTGTCTGTGGCGATTGTCGTTGCTGTTGATGGTGTTGATGTTGTTGTTGCGAGTTTTCCAGAGGCGTTTGTAAGCTGTTGGCATTATCGATGTTTCTGTTTATCAACAAGGTGGATGTTGTAAATTCTTTGCTGTTGTTGTTAGCATTTTGTTGTTGAACATTTTGTGGTTGTTGTTGTTGTTTGTGGCATGAAAAAGACAAAAACGGAAATAAATAAGATCTTCTTGGCAATGGAGGTGGCGTTGTTGTTGTTGTTGCTGCTGCTGCTGTTGTAGTTGATGTAGCCGCGATTCTTAGAGAAGTAGTTCTTACCGGCGGCAAGCGTTGCTGAATTTGTTGTTGCATAGCATGGTTGTCGTTGTTGCTTGTAGTTGAACAACATGTTGTGGTTGTTGTTGCAAGTTCATTAACTGGAGATAATATAAAATATTCTGGCTCCGATGTCTGTGCATCTGGTGTTTCAAACACTAAATCCTGGTAAATATGCTGTTGTTGTTGTTGCTGCTGCTGCAATAGTTCTTGCTGATGTTGTTGTTGTTGTTGTTGTTGTTGTTGTTGTAGGAAGTAGTTGTGTGAGTGTTGTTGGAAGAGATGTTGGTCAATAATTGAACGGGAGACAGTGTTTAGGGGAGATGATGATGAGGACGATGATGACGACGATAACGAAAGGTATTTCGTAAGAGAATTACTCTTCGAACTGCTACTATTATTGCTAATGTTGTTGTTGTTGTTGTTGTTGTTGTTGCTGCTGATGTTCTTGTTGATGTTAAAGTTTCGATCAACTTGCTTCGTCAACAAGTCAATCCTAATTCCCATCCGAGGGACCGGACGTTTTAATTTACGTTTGCTGTTTTTGTTATTATTATTACCATAGTTGTTGTTGAAGAACCTAAGATTATTGTTGTTGATGTTGTTGTTGATGTTATTTAATGGCGAATATTGGCCGGTGTAAGAGGAAAATGTTTTGTTGACGCAACTGTGCATCGTTGATGATGACGTCAATGTTGTTGTTGTTGTTGTCATCGTTGTCGTTGTTGATGATGGCGGTCTGGCGTGTTGTAACATCAACTGAAACAAACAAAGCATTGTTGTTGTTGGAAAATTTCAAAAAATTTTGCATTTTGAATCTCTAGCAGAAAAATTCATGTATATTTACTACTACTAGGCCACTACCACTACTACTACTACTACCACCACCACCACCACTACTACTACTACTACTACCACTAATAATAATAATAATAATAACAGTGCTTAAAAACTTTTCCTTTCAAAACAAAATAAAACCTAACCGAGTTTCGACAGAGCAATTCATCATCGTCATCATCACCTCCGTCGTCGTCATCATCATCATCACCATCATCATAATTGTTATCATAAATATTGCCGATTTCGTGACTATGTATGACATCATTATCATTATCATCATCATCGTCGTCGTCGTCTTCTGAAATTTGAGTGAGATCAAGCAATGAGAGAGTAAGGTCTGTTTGGGATGAAGCGACGATGTAGCTAATTTTGTTGTTGCTATTATTTTTATTATTATTATTATTGTTGTTGTTGTTGTCATTGTTGTTGTTAATGTTCTTGCCATTGTTGTTGATGTAGTTGCCGTGAGCATTATTTTTGAGATAGTTATTGTTGATGTTGTTCTTGGTGTTGCTATTATTATTGTTGTTGTTGCTGTTACGACAGTTGTTGTTGCAACTTAACTCTAAGCCAGAGTGAACGTTCATTAGAAGGTTGTCATGGCTGTTATCTATGTTTTTGTTATTAATGTTGTTGTTGTTATTGTTGTTTATGTTGTAAATATTTTTCTTCTTGTTGTTTTTGTTGTGTTTTGTTTCCATTGCTGAAAATCTCAGTAACCTGAATAATTGTGATGATTCAATGAATTCTGTATTACAAACATAAATATACACATACATACATTAACACGTACACACACACGTACATACACGCACACAAACACACGCACACAAACACACACACACGTAAGTTGTAATATAAGCTATTAAATTATAGCAAGGATAAAATGACTTCAACAATGATTGGTTCAAAAACAAACTGACCGACGAATGTAAGCATGTATGTTGTATATATGTATGTGTGTGTGTGCTGTATGTGTGCATGTATGTGTGTGTGTGCGTGTGCGTAACTTAGGTGCGATAGGTGGCCCGCTAGTTCACGATTTAGTTTGATATGTAATGGTAAGATGAGGAGCGTGATGATTATGATGAAGATAATAATAACAATAACAATTGCAATAATAAAAACAATAATAAAAACAATAATAAAAACAATAACAGCAATAGCTATAATAAGACCAGCAAACATTACAACGACAATAAAAATGTTATAAAGTTAAACTTGCACTGAGATAGTACTATGTGATTTCTAACCGATTGGTAACAATAAGATCGCAATGAAATCTTATTTCATATCAAATCATGTCAAACAACCAGCCAGCCAGCCGGCCACTCACTCACTCACTCACTCACTCACTCACTCACTCACTCACTCACTCACTCAATCACTCACTCTATCATTCACTCACTCAACCAGCCAACCAACCAGTCAACCAATCAAATAAAGCAATCAACTTTATTCAACTTACAAAAGAAAGTCCTTTACTAACCTATCAAGATCATTATCATCATCATCACCGTCTTCATCATTGTCAAGAATAAAATCATCAATAATGCCATTGGTTGCGTCGACAACTACGTCATAACTATCGGGGTAATTATTTGGCGCTTCATTTAAAATCGTCATGGAGTTGTATAGCTGAATGTAGTCGTGTTCAGTTAGTTGTAGTTGGTCGGTTTGAGTTGAAGTGTGATGGCGTGCCAGTATGGCTAGATTTCTCATTGTGTTGTCGTTGTTGTTGTTGTTGTAGTAGTTGTTGTTGATGTTGTTGTTAATGACGTTGTTGTTATTGATGTTGATGTAGTAGAAGTAGTTGTTGTTGGGGTAGTAGTAGTAGTAGTAGTGGTAGTTGTTGTTGTTGACGTAGTAGTTGTTGACGATGATGTTGCTCTAACTGTTGTCTTGCGCTAATGTCACTCTTACTATTGTAAAAAAAATTATAGATAATATTTAAAATGACATCAAAAGTGACGTCATAAACGCTAATGATGATGATGCTAAAATTGATGATAATGACGTAGCCAGCAATAATGATGATGATAATGAAGACGACTTAGAATGTGAGGAAGAAGAAGAAGATGATGATGGAAAGACAGAGAGAGAGGGGGGGGGGATGACAGACAGACTCGAAGCCCCCAACAGGAGAATGGTGATAGTAAATTAATCTAATAAGCAAACGCTTGTTGGGTAATAAAGCCATTTAATATTGTAATTTGTATCGTGTGACCATCGACACACAAACACGCACATAAACACACACACACATATATATACACACGCACACACACACACGCACGCACTGTAAATTATGTATTTCTTGCTATATATAAGTTTAATGAATGAATGGATCATGCTTGTAAATGTAAAGTTAGCAGTTAATTATTATTAATTAATTAGTTTATTATTGAGCAAGTCATAAAATTTGAAAATAAAACTTGAAAAATATAAAATATAAACACACAGACATGTAAATAATAGTCAGACTGAAAGACAGACTGACAAACATACAAAGATATGGACATACATACAGACGCACAAACAAACGAACACATACATGTATATAATTATATAGAGACAAACAAATAGATATACATACATACAAACATACACGAGCACAGACAGGTACAAATACAGAGCGACAGACGGACAGACAGACAGACGGACAGACAGACAGACGGACAGACAGACAGACGTGGAAATCCGATATACCCAGGGCTCCAAGGAAACCAACTATGAATAAATAAGCAATCTGATCTTATTCTCTTACTACTTTTCTCTTCATCTCACTTTTTATTCTTTCATTCTCTCTGTATATATTCTACATTCTATCTATATTTCGTCGGTGTTTGCTTGTTCACCAGTTTTCTATTCTTCCCCTCTCTATTTCTCTCCCTCCCTCTCTCTCTCTCTCTCTTATAAATCTATCTTAAATTATTGAAAAAAGCTGCTAGTTAAGCCTTGAGGGAGTAATATGAAATAAGCGAACCGATGAATGATTGAGAGAGAAAAAAATTATGAAAAAAAATGAATGAAAAATGAGTAAGCCAATGAGTGATAGAATGAATAATCATATTAATTAATAAACGAATAAACGGATGAATGAATTAAATGAGTGAAGGAGCAAAAAGTAGATGAATCAAATAAGTATCAGATAGTCAAGTTCGTACATACCTCTATCCTAATTTCATCATCCAAGCAATCAGTCTGATATCCAAAATAATCTTACCTACCCAAACAAATTTGCATTCAAAAAGTTACATAGAAGTTTCAAAGAAACATACAACTATTAAGACGTGTGCGAGTGTACATACATTCACATACATTTAAATGTGTATGAGTCTGTGTGCACGTTGCTTATATAGGCAGTACGTATGTACGTGACTATATATATATATATATATATATATATATATATATATATATATATGTGTGTGTGTGTGTATGTGCGTGTGTGTGTGTATGTGTGTGCGTGTGTTGTAAATGCATTTGAGGCGTTAACTTAAGCATGATTGGTTAGAAACAATGGCATTAAGACATGTATCTAACATTGACGTGTTTGACATGTTTCTAGTTGCTACATTATTACTATTATTATTAATTATTATTAATAATTATTATTATTAATCATTATTATTATTATTACGCACCGCATGCTGTTGGCCGTTGTTATAAATTAAGACGCATGCTAACGGGCAGCGTATCGATTAATATCTTTCTCTCACGGCTGTCAATCCAATTATTTCTTATCAGTGACGTCATAACAGCAATAATAACAATAATAATAATAAGTACAGCAACAATAACAACAACAGCAACAACAACAGGCATCATCACCAACAACAACAATTAGACATCTCAGCCTAAGCTGAAATAATTTTTACACCTCAATTCGTCCTTGACACATGCCACCCCATCATTATCATCACCACACGATGACCTTTTGAAGGTCAAACAAAGACACTGACCTCTGACACCATTGTTAATAGCTCTATTCAAAAAAGCACGCTTCTACACTTACATACACGCATTTAAGCACTCACCACACACACACGCACACACACACACACAGCTAGAGACAAACAAACAAACACATCCACACACACACGCACACAAGCACGTTTACGATATTATTTGGACGCAGTACTACAAAATAAGCTTATTAACCATACATTCAAATATTCAAATAAAGCCTCACCCTTTCGCTCTCTCTTTCTCTCTCTAGAGCAAGAGAGAAAAAGCATAACCAAGTTAAAGGGAGAGACAGAAAGTAAGAAAAAAAAGAGAGAGAGAAATAGAGAGAGAGAGAGAGAAAGAGAGAGATTATCTGAAACGTTAATGAAGACATGCGCAACAACAGTAATTACATCGTAAACTGATAAACAGACATGGAAAGATAATCCGTTCGAGTTTAAAAATAATTAATAAATTTATTAACCATATCATTAATTAACTAATTAACCATATTGTTAATTAACTGACCATATTTATAATTAACAAATTTATAACATGTAACATTTTTAATTAAATATTTTAGTAGTAACATTTAATTAAAAATTTTCAATTAATTTCATTGTCAATAAGTACACACACACACACACATACAAAACTACACATACACACACATATTTACACACACACAAATTTACACACACATACACACACATATTTACACACACACATATTTACACATACACACATTTACACACACACCACTAACACATACACACAGACACACACACACCACTAACACATACACACACACACCACTAACACATACACACCACTAACACATACACACAGACATACACACACCACTAACACATACACACACACACAAACAAACAAACGCACACGCGTGTTATATAAATGGACAAGGCATTGCTTAATAACGCAAAAATGTTTGTATGTGTGTGTGTGTATGTGTGTGTTTGTATGTGAGTGTGTGTGTGTGTATAACTTGAAATACCGCATGGTGGTGATAACAACGACGTGTCTGTTCAGCTAGTTACGTAACGATGAGTTTTGCATTTCTATAATAATTATAAATAATAATAATAATAATCAACTTATTATTATTTCTTTTTTAATTAATTAATTCATTCATACATACTAGACCGGTACCGTCAAAATCAAGCTGTTGAAGTTTCTAACTTAATCTCGTTACGCAATAGTAATAATAATAATAACAATAATAATAATAATTCATCGTTGATTTGAGAGCAAAGCTAGGCACGCACACATTACACACGTACATACAACACACAGCCACACATTTGCATGAATGAGATCTCCCAACTTACACACACACACACACACACACACGAACACATGTTTACATGCAAATTTCTTTGTGTTTACTTTCGCGTATATTCAGTATACACGTATGTAGGTATGTATGTGTTTATGTATGTCTATATATGTACGTACGCATGTGTGTGTGTGTTCCTGCAAATTAAAACTAAACATATGTTAGGCACATATCATTTTACAGAAATAACATGCGATCAAATTTGTAATGGCAAATGCATTTACAATCAACACACAGACACGAACGCACACACACGCACATACACACACACGCACGCACACACACATATACACATATTTATGTATACTAATGGTACTGACACAAATACAAAAATACAAGCTTTAAATACAAAACCCTGGCTGGAACACAAAGACGTTACATAAGCGCTCCTCAAGAGTCACTAGATTTACATTTGAAAAGAATCACACACCAATGCAACAGTATACATACGTACATAGACAGACACATACATAAACAGACACACACAAACACACACACACTTACATACTTGCACGCACGCACGCACATACATAGGTGTATAAGAAATCTCGAACAAATAAACAATACTCACATTCTTAAAGTTTGAACTTAGTGGACCAAAGAGATAGAGAGAGAATGAGAAACGGAGAAAGATAGAAAGAGTGAGAGAGAGAGAGAGAGAGAGAGAAAGATGGATTAAGCGCGTCAGAAAGATGGAAAAGTTAACGAGAAAGAAAGATATGTATATATAGAGAGAGAAAGAGAGAGAGAAAGAATACGATTAAGCAAAACAGATAAAGATGGATAGTAGAATTAGAATTTTTTTTCATATTCGTACACTTAATTTTAATAATTCGATCGGTAACAAATAAAGAATCAACTAACTATATTATTCACCACAGGAGTCATTTTGTTATTATTATTAACGCTGTTATTATTATTATTATTGTTGTTGTTGTTGTTATAGTCGCCAGTATTTATGGCGGGGTGTAATATTTCACGTTGTAAACCTCCCTACTCTAGCACTTAATGTAAGGTGTTGGATCAATTTGTAATTGTAAAGTAATTGCTCTCTTAGTATCGCAGCTCAGTTTTGAAGAATTATTATTATTAATTATTATTATTTATTATTATTATTGTTTATTATTATTATTAGTATTATAAATGATCGAACGCTGAGTATAACAAAACAGACAGCATAGGACCAAGAAAATGGAACCACAAATCTCAAAAAATATTCCCCCGGGTCGAAAAAATGTGCTATTCAAGTACATATGCGGCCCTTCAAAGGTAAAATAGTTCTCAATGCGGCCCTCACAGCAAAGTTTGCCCACCCCGGCATACGTACAAACACACACACACACAGAGAGAAAGAGAGAGAGAGATAGAGATAGAGAGAGAGAGAGAGAGAGAGAGAGAGATACACACAAAGAGAAATAATATTAACAATAAAATAACTTTATTCCATTATTAACTGACCTTTGATTTTGCACCGTTCTCTTTCTGAGTTTTTACAACCGGCTTTATATCCAAAAAAGACTATTTTGCTTACACAGACAAATGAGATAGATTAATTCTGATTAACGATTTAACTAACGATAAATGATACTACTTTTCAAGATATAGTATCATAAAAATAGATATTCAATTATCTTTCTTAATTATTTTCCTCTATCTGTCGCATTTTTACTTGCGAAAATGAAATTAGCTCACGTTCATTCAATCGATTAGCACTTGATAAAACAAATTTAACATAATTATTATTATTAATTATAATAGTCATTAACTGTTATAATTATCAATTGTTATTACTAATATTATTACCTATAATTCAAAAAAAAACCAAAAAACTTATAATTATAGGCATTGAGAATTAAGAATTCTTCTTGCTTTTATAAATACATGCAATATATATATATATATATATATATATATATATATATATATATATATATATATATGTATGCAATATATATATATATATATATATGTATGCAATATATATATATATAATATATATATGTATGTATATGAAGTTGTATTGTATAACTATTGTATAACTATAAATGTAAATGAAAATGTATACTATATATTATATGTATATGTCTGAAGCACTTACATGTAATATGTATGTGTATATAGTAGGAGTACTGCATATTTAAATTGAAGTAATCTTTACATATATTACAATTATTATATTTGTTTACTAATTAATTAATTAATCAATTAGTTAGTTAATTTATTTGTTAGTACTTTTCAATCTTCAATGCCATCAGGGGCAACAACAACAGCAACACAGACAGTTCACGTAAGTAAACACATTGTATGAGTTTCAAATACTGCTATTACAGCTGCTTCTGCTACTACTACCACTACTACTACTACACTACTACTACTACCACAAGTGTTGCGATGTTGTTGTTGTTGCGGTGGGCACAAAACTAGAGATCTCTTTGAAGTTTTTAATTAATTTGTTTGTTCATTCTACTGGGCTATTGTTTCGTCTTTGTAGGTGCTTGCTGGATGTTGTTGTTTGTTTGATTTTGTTTGTGCTGTATGTGTGTGTGTGGGTGTATGTATGTATGTGCGTGTGTGTATATATGTATGTGTGTGTGGGTGTGTGTGCACGCAAACTGCTTATTTGTAGAAGTGTTTATAATGAAAGACAGTAGGATATGGATAATGAAAACAAAGACAGACAGACACAGACACAGACACACACACACACACACAAACATTTTATGTAACACACTTCACGTACTCAAGCAAGAATAATTCACTTAACATGCAAACATGTTTTATAATTACGTTTAATATAATTATGTACATACGAAAAATACCAGTTCACACACTCACACATACACACAAACACACATACACACACACACACTCACACGAACACACAATACAATACAACAAAGTTTTGTATTTGTATCTGTACAATTTGTTTATGCTCAGCGCGTTTTTTGTTTATGTCTGGTTAATTCTCTTCTTATCTATGTCTAAACTAATGGCTGGCTATTTAGGAATTTAAAAGTTTATACACACACACACGTGTGCGCGCACACAAACACACACACACAAACACACACACACATACACATATATATATGTACAATTGCCTAATTTATAAACAAGATGGTTGCCTTACATATCATAAATCTGAGAAGAATATAAATATAAATTAAAAATTATACAAAGTATCAAAATAAAAAAAAATTTGAACAAGGAACGAAAATAAACCAAATAGATTATGACGAAGACGCAGTGAAAACATTTTACGAAAACAACAACATCAACAATAATAGTAACAATAACAATAATAATATTCATAATATCGGTAGTTATAAAACATTTATAGATACATACGTGCTTAAATACACACATCACACACGCATACATACATATGCACGCACATATATACATACATATTCACACACATACATATACACGCACGCATACAAACATACATACACACATACATATTTATCGTTGCTTCTAAAGCTTTATCATTTCGACACGGCATATGAGTAACGCTTTCAGAAAACAAATAATAATAATAATAATAATAATAATAATAATAATAACATAATAATCACAAGGCCAAACGATTCATAAAACCGAAAGAATTTTTCTTCAAAATAAATTTGAAAAATAAAAAACCAGCCGTAAGAAGGTAAGCAATACGAACATGACAAATTCAAAATTATCCTATTACACGGGGACGAATAAACAACAAACAGAAGATATTTCCTCAGAAACAACAACAACAACAACGACAACATCAACAACGAGAAAAAAAGTAACGACTGCAACTACAACAACCACAAGAGCCACACTGAGCAACTCGTCCGGCACGATGACAACAGTTACGACAACATCAGCGGCAGTAACGACAACAACGACGACAAAAACAACGACACTGAAACCATCCCTTTCTAGATCGAAAGCAACATCAAAGACATCGGGAATGAAATTATGCGGTAACAACAATTGCAAAAACATCACCGAAAGATACAGGCGCAGGCCGCAATCAAAATCTTCAATGGCACCGCCCACAGCTTCAAAATCACATCTGAAGAGATCGTTATCAAGATCTTTATCGCCCTCACCACCACCACCATTATCAGCATCATCATCAGCAACAACAAGATCCTTATCATCACTGACAAAAGAAATGAGAACCGGCCAATCAGGGCTTACTAAGGAGGCATCGAGCAATTCAATTGACATCAGTGCCGTCCTTAACAATGCACTCGTCAGGAAGCCTGCTGTCCTGTCTTTTTTTCCTAATTCCTCTACGACATCTGCAGCTAAAAATTTTGCTAAAAAATGTTCCCAGAATCGTTGCGCAACACCTGCAACAACCAACTTCAACGAAAACTGTTCCCCGAATTGTTGCGCAACATCTACAGCAGCAGAACTCCTTAAAAAGTGTACGCCAAAGTCTCGTGGTGGTCCCTCTTCAGCTGCGAAGTTTATTAAAAAATGTTTCCCACAGCAGTTGGAAGCGTGTGGAGGGAGAGGGGATGAGACAGGTGACCCTGCTACGTTCAATGGAGATCCTGTACCGCCGATTTTATTACCAGCTACCCCGAACGATCAAATTATACCATCTACTGCTGAACTTTTCTTGCACACAGGATCTGTTACAACGACAAAAACAGAAATAGTAAGCAACATTAAGCAAGAACAACAACAACAACATCAACAACATCAACAACATCATCAACAACACCAACAACAACAACAGCAACAACAACAACAACGGCATCAACAACAACAACGGCAACAACAACAACAACAACAAAAGCATCAACGACAACAACAACAACAAAAGCATCAACGACATCATCAAATAGTTTCGCAACTATCTCAGGCGGTTATAACAGCATCAAGTTCTGTGAGCATACGATCATCAGTACGGCGACAACAACCACATCAGCCACAACAGCCACAACAACTACATCAACCACATCAGCCACAACAACCACATGGCCACCTCCAACAACAGCAGCAGCACTGCTACCAACAACAACAAAATCAACTTCATCAGCAGAAGAATAATTCCTCCCAGATGACCAGCACCAACTCAACAGAAACAAACATACAACAACCAACAACAACTACCCAACAAACAACAACAACAACATCAACAAAGGGTGATGAAAACCCTGACGATCGAGTGTTTTTTTGGGGTCCACAGGGTGGTCCTCCAATGCTAATGTTAGGTATGAAAAATTTTGTTGAAAAACCATTATTTAACTGATACAAATTGTAAGGTTTTCAAAAATACAATAAGACAATAACTGTTAAATACAACTTCATATATATTAAGAAATATTGATATGTATGTACGTATGTATGTGTGTGTGTATGTACGTGTGTATGTATGAATGTATGTGTGAATGTATGTATAAGTGTATGTATGAATGTTTGCATGTATGATTGTATGTAAGAATGTTTGTATGTATGAATGTTTTTATGGAGTATAAATGAGGTAAATAAGTTTTTCTTCATGAATTTTTGTACCAGCTTAGCGAGCAGAGGAGAAATGTCACTAAGTGAAAAAAAAATAAAATTTCAAAAATATCCTCGCCAGATGTCACAAAGATACCTGGATACACAATGATTACGTTTAATACACCGACCTGGAGAATACCGTTGATAGAAAGAAAGAATGAAGAACTCGTTAACTCATTTCTCGTACGTTCTCTCATTCATTTGATCTTTTTAACTGATGGTCATACTACCACTACTACTACTACTACTACTACTACTACTACTACTACTACTACTACTACTACTACTAATTCTGCTGCTACTACTACTACTACTACTAATTCTGCTACTACTACTACTACTACTACTACTACTACTACTACTGCTACTACTACTACTACTATTACTGCTGCTACTACTACTACTACTACTACTACTGCTACTACTTTTACTACTATTACTACTACTACTACTAATATTACTACTCTTACTACACTACTACTACTACTACTACTATAAAAATACTAATAATAATAAGGCTGGCTGGTCGAGACGAACAGAAGAGGAGCGGAAATGGATGAGTATTCCGGAATGGAAAAGAAGTATCCTTCAAACTATGGCGGAGAAAAATAAAATAAATATGGTAGGCCTAATTCTGATTGGTTGCTTGATTTGGGATGTTGGATTTCAAACATTGAAAATATTAAGTGTCGAGCTGTGATTAGATTGGCTGCTTGATTTGGGGTGCTCGTCTCTGATTGGCTCTCTGAGATTTGAATTATTCAAAATGTTTATTCATCATTGGCTGATGATTTGGTGGTTTTTATTTCAATTGATCGTTAAGTTATTATTTTAACTTGTCTAACCATAATAATATTTAAAAAAAGGAGATAATAATGAATGAAAGAAAGAGGAGAGAGATAGAGATGCAGAAGTTCATCCATCTGCCCCAATGGAAGAGAAACTTACTCCTAAGAAAAACTTTTGCGCCCTTCTGAATAATTATATTATTAATAATAATAAAAATAATTATAATTATAATAATTAAAATTTTAAAAGTATTATTTTATATTTTTTTTCTATTAAAGTTTCTAAACTCACTGAATTCTGATTCTGTTTTGTGATATCGAATTCGTAAAAAATGACAAACATACATACATACATACATACAGGGCAGCGGACGAGAAAATGAAAAAATATGGGAACGCCCTTCCCTCGATGGAATTCTTGCCAATATGCATCGAGGTTCTCGGCCCGATGGACCCCAACACCCTTAAATTTCTTAAGGAAATATGCAAAATGATCAGCGTCAGATCAGGCGACAGCAGGGAACTGTTTTTCGCAACTAACCACATTTCGTGCTTGTTGCAGCGGTTCCTGCGTGTCTGTGTGCTTGAAAATATCCAACTGAATGCCGACATGTGCAATTAACGACAAATCAAAGTGTTGATCCATTTGTTACTTGATGTTTGACGGTTCAGTGTCACTCATCATGTTTTGGTTTTAACATACATACATACATACATACATACATACATACATACATACATACATACATACATACATACATACATACATACATACATACATACATACATACATACATACATACATACATACATACATACATACATACATACATACATACATACATACATACATACATACATACATACATACATACATACATACATACATACATACATACATACATACATACATACATACATACATACATACATACATACATACATACATACATACATACATACATACATACATACATACATACATACATACATACATACATACATACATACATACATACATACATACATACATACATACATACATACATACATACATACATACATACATACATACATACATACATACATACATACATACATACATACATACATACATACATACATACCTACATACATACC